TTTTTGGAACGGTATTTTTGTGCGAACCAAAGACTGCATGAAAGGTTGGAAAAAAGATGTCATGCGTTCGATCATGATACTGCCACCTTTCGTTTTAACGATTAATTTGTGATCTTTGGTTCTCGAGATCATCGCGTCACAAAATGACGAGATTTTATGCGTAATATAGGTGATTAATTGTCTATAATCAGCTGTATTGTCAGCTGTCTTGTATTTCAACATTATGAATGGCGCCTAACTTTTGTTTATGTTTTCGTTTGAATTATCTCAATGCAAAATTTTGTCAAAATCGTGTTTTTGGAACTCGATTTGTGAGAGCACCGAACGTCGCAAACATGATTTGAAAAAAGATGTTCCATATTCAGTGTCGGTACTTTCACTTGGCGTTTCAACGAAAGTTTTCCGACTTTCTGTTCTTGAGATCATCGCGTCACAAAACAACGATTTGATATGCGTACGTCGAGAAAGTAAAAGAAAAAGAAAAAAAAAAAAAAAAAAAAAAAGTAAACTCGCGACGGACTACATAAATGCTGTGCTTCGCACCGCATTAAAAACTAGATGGTATTCGAGTTTCGACTCGAATACGAAATGCGGTGCGAAGCACATGTGCCGAGAATCCGAAAAACGAATTTCGTATCGAAATCGAATAAACGGTCTAAATATTGTCGGAATTGCTTCTTACATTCTACGTCAAGGTTCAAAGATAATTGAAGTTTTTCTGAAGTAGGGATAAGAGATTAAAAAGAAAGTTTTTTTTCGAACAGCTGATCTACCCTAGATCTGACATGAAAGGTATCCATTATGAAATTGATCACTAGAGAAACTCTACTAAAGCGTATCGACAGACTTCTAGAAACTGTTGTTTATTGATCGATTAATTATCTCAATGATTCATTATGTATAATCAGCTGTATCGCAGCTGTCTTATATTCAAAAAGAAAAAAGATTGGCGCCTAACTTCTCTTTCACTTTTCGTTTTAATTATCTCAAAGCTAAAATTGTTCAAAATCGTCGTTTTGGAAGGCAGTTTATGAGAAGATTCGCGGTCTTTTGGATAATCTGATCAAAGATTTCACAGGTTCGATGTCGATTCTTTCACTTCACGTTTCAACGAAACTTTTCTCACTTTCGGTTCTCGAGATCATCGCGACACAAAATGACGAGTTGATGTGCGTACGTCGAGAAAGTTAAAGAACTAGATGGTATTCGAGCTTCGCTTCGAATACTAAATGCCCTGCGAAGCACGAATCTCTCGAATCTTCGAAAAAACGAATTTCGAATGGAGATTCAATAATCGCTCTAAATATCATCGGAATTCGTTCTCACATTCTACGTGAACGTTTAAAGATAATTGAAGATGTTTCTAAGTTAGAGATAATCGATAAAAGAAACATTTTTATCGATCAGCTGATCTAACCTAGATCCGACATGAAAGTCATCCATTATAAAATTCATCACTACAGAAACTCTAACAAAGCGTATCGACAGACTTCTAGAAACTGTTGTTTATTGATCGATTAATTATCTCAATGATTCATTATGTATAATCAGCTGTATCGCAGCTGTCTTATATTCAAAAAGAAAAAAGATTGGCGCCTAACTTCTCTTTCACTTTTCGTTTTAATTATCTCAAAGCTAAAATTGTTCAAAATCGTCTTTTCGGAAGCCAGTTTCTAAGCGGACTCGGGTTCTTTTCGATGATTTGATTAAAGATTTCACGGGTTCGGTCTCGATTCTTTCACTTCACGTTTCAACGGATCTTTTCTGACTTTCCGTTCTCGAGATCATCGCGACACAAAATGACGACTTGATGTGCGTACGTCGAGAAAGTAAAAGAAAAAAAAAAAAAACTCGCGACGGACTACATAAATGCTCCTGCTTCGCAGGGCATTAAAAAAACTCGCGCACGACTACATAAATGCTGTGCTTCGCACCGCATTAAAAAAATGACTTGCGCAAGATTGTGTCAATCATTTCATGACTCATACGTTGAAAAAAAGAAAACAAACAAAAATCATCATGCAATCAAAAATAATCAACAAATGCTAAAAATATTTTAAAATAAGAAAAAATATCTGGCGAAAAAAAAAGAATAATTTTTTTATTATTGAAAAATTCTTGATTTTTTTTTAATACATGTAAATATTTTTGTTTACAAGTCATCATCATCATCGGGCAATAGTGCTCCATCTAGCTGCTTTTCATATTCTCGAAGCATTTCCGGATCCAAATATATTTCCGGTGGCTAAAAATAAGTTAGTCTATGCTATAAAAAAAGAATTTTGAATTATATCAAAACATACTGGTAATGAAACTTGAGAAACAAATTGAAGATTATCATTTCCAGCTAGTTTTCGTGCTAACCAAAGAAATGGTTTTTCAAAATTATAATTTGATCGAGCACTAATATCATAATATTGCATATTATTCTTTCGATGATATGTTATTGATTTAGCTTTTAATTTTCGATCTTTTACATCGATTTTATTTCCACATAAAACAATTGGAATATTTTCACAAACACGAATTAAATCTTTATGCCAATTGGGAACATTTCGATAAGTTATACGTGATGTCACATCAAACATTATGATAGCACACTGTCCACCGATATAATAACCATCACGTAAACCTATTATTGAAGAAACAATACAAATTATCAATGATAATCATTATTTTATTAACTTACCGCCAAATTTTTCTTGACCGGCTGTATCCCAAACATTGAAAATAATTTCACCCAAATTTGTATAAAAATTTAACGGATGTACATTAACACCAATTGTGGCCTCATATTTTTTTTCAAATTCACCTGTTAAATGTCGTTTAACAAATGTTGTTTTACCTAAAAACGTCCATTATCATATATTAGACGAAACACAAAGAATGATGAAACATACCAACACCACCATCGCCGACTAAAACTAATTTAAATTGTGGCACGTTGTTTTGGTTTGCTGCCATTGTTGCGTTCTCAAAATGAAGAATATATGTAAATGTGCAAAAGTAACCGATGTGCACAATTATATATCATGTAATTTCACAAGACAACAGAAAGAAAAACTTTTTTGAATATTGCGTAATTTAGTATGATGTCATTCTATGTTACTATCGAGCAACACTGAAGTAAAAATAATACGAAACCATCTTTTTAAATAATTATTCTAAACAAATGACATGTGACTTTATTTTCTATGAGAAAAATCTCGCTGCACTTGGAAAATACAGTAATATAAACAATCATATTCGATGTTAATTATCTAAGCTATCGAATTTATCAACTAGAAACTATTATATGACCTACTAATCGTATCTCTTGCTGAATCGAAACTATTATATAAATAAATGCGAAAACCTCGGATTTAAATCCGAGTGTTATGTGTACTTCAAAAAGTGAAAAGGTATATTCACTTTGTTTTTATCTCGTGAACGGTTTGGCCCTTTGAGCTAAAGAAGGTCTCAATTGGACAGAAAACAGTTTAATCTATAAATTCACTACACACAAGTGAGTAAGTTATGAGATAAAAAAAAGTGATATAAACCAAAAACTGCGTAAATTCAACGAAATAGCATACTTCGGGGAGCGGTATTTTGAACTTTTCTCACTTGGTGCAGTAGGGTGTGGGTGTGGGTGTGGGTGGGTGGGTGTGGGTGTGGCATTGGCTGTGGGTCTTCTGTTGAGTCATACCCACAC